AAGTAATGTGAAAAACAATCTAGGGATCGTGCCTAGCGTCTTAGAAAAAAAAACTGTTTTAGACTAATAAGATCTTACTGGCATACCTACAATCCCATAGCCACATGTAAATAGCATGTGACAGCATCTGTTTAATAGGTCATCACAAAGACAATCGTGTTCTGAATTTATGATTAGTAGGCCTAAAATAGGATGAAAAGAATATAAAGACATATTTTGAAAAAAGGCAAGGAGTATATTCAAAACGTAGGATGATAATTGAATTTTATAACGATGTTTTAAAATTAATTTCAAAAGCTGTTTATATTTATTTTTTTAAAGATTGATTTGTTTATTAGTAGTACTGTATATAAATTCATCTAACCTTAGACTAGAAGTGCTTATAAAAAGAAAAAATGATACGTGATAGTTACAATATTAGATGAAACATATTTAAATAACAAGAGTTACTATTCTGGTAAGTTTACCATTATTATAGTTGTAACATCTTAGTCCAACACTCTCCACGTTTCGTACCTCACACCACAAACCCAACATAAACTAGCTTTGGTTCCTCAACCGGTCTTAAATAGTTTCCAGTTTCCACATAACACTTTAACCTGTGGATCTATTGTATTTTCTGTTTTATATTTTGTAAAAACTAGTTGTTTTACTAAATACTAATTGAGTTTAGATTAATTACACTAATATACAGTAAGTAGTAATAAGTATGTTAAATAGTAAGTAACAAGTACTAATTAGTAAGTATTGATAAGTAATTCACGTATAAAAGCTCGATGTTAGATAGTAACACAACCATGACAGTGTCATTGGATAAACTTCTAAAATACTTTTGTCGTAGAAACATAAATCGTTCAAAATGCTTGAAGGCAGCAGTAGGGATTGCTTCGTAAGCAGGAGGTAAGTAAAGCACATTTCCCTGTAACCACTTCCCTTTATAAGAGTCCTTCCAGCTCATTGGTCGAGGATTGCATTCCTTTGAGAATCTGCATGTATCATTTCACCGTCTTGCTCTTTATCATCTCAATATAAGATGCGTACTCAAGCACTGAAAGTCTTAAAATGATTGATTTAATATTTTAAGGTATCTTTTATAATTTATTCAATTTTTCTTAATGAAGTTTTAAGCAAATCTGTGTTTTAATAATTTTATATTTAATAAATAATAATTGAATCAATGTTGTAGGGATATAACACATCTTAACAGCGAAAGAAATCGTATGACACTCGTCTAAAATGTGTTTACCGGACTAGTGACTTAATATACTATTTCATATGTATTTACCAAACAAGTCAATAATTAATTTCAAAGTCATACTCATACTTGTTGCGTAAGAATTCCTATGGAGTTGTAAAATATAAAATAATCCAAATCGTGTAAAAACATTCCATAAGTAAGTACATTTTATAGCTCGTGGTTTACATTTGTAAACAGTAACTGTAACGTTTATATAGCACTTATATGTTGACACATTTGACTAATTCAATGTGCAATATCTGAAACTACTGTCAAAGTGTTCTTGAAAGATAAAGTTTAAATTGCTTTTCTGTGGTTCAGAACAGATGATTGCTCCTTTCAAATTGTAAGTGTTTAAACATTGTAACTGATTGCAAATATTTGAAAATTCTGATGTAAAGACACCAGAACTGCTGATTATCATGATGTATTATAAACTAAACCAATTGTTTTGTGGTTTATTTGTACTGTATTGTTTGTTTTTACCCGGATATTAGGGTTATAACTGTTGATGCAGTGAAGAATATTGTTTAGGTTCATAATAATTGTGTTTTGACACGTCTAAGAGAGTTAGTTTTCTATTTAAAAAACCATTAAAGTAAATCTCTGCAATAAAAATGCATGTGTTACGGTTTTTTGGGTTTTTTTTTCTCGATCGAATGCTACTAGCGTATCCTTATGATTATATTTTTTTATTTATTCAATAAAGACTCTTATTTTATCTGATTTGTCCAATATTTGTTATTTTGATTACTAACTATTTTTACTCTAGTTATTATTTTAAGTTAATGCAATAATTTCTTGTTGTCGTGTTGGTAAATAAAATGTCATATCAATGCTAATTTTAGTTGTAGCGTTTAGTAGTCAAATTACTGCAAAGGATTCTTAGTGTAAGAAAAAAAGACCACGTTTACTTTCTTATAGTGAGAGAGAGGTTTGCAAAATGTGACTCGTAGGCAAAAATAAAAACGAGGCTGTAATCTACCTAAATTGTCTTAGTTTTATTTTTTAAATTCAATAGATCATTAGGCGTACTAATAGTAAAAATTGTGTTGGAACCAATGTCATACAATCTAAATATAACAAACATGTTTTTCTTAGATCGTGTGCATCAAAGGGAAAAACCTACGCATACTGTTGGAAAGATATTTTCCTGTTGATGTACGGAATCAATTTATACATAAAAAATAGGCTCAAAAATAAGCAGAAAAAATCAATTTTAAATTTTAAAAGATTTAACATGGGCCTTATGGGTTGCCGGTACTGGTGGCAAACTAACAAAAAAATATAAACAGAAAATTAAAACAAAAGGAAAAAAATCCAATTACAAATATTATTTACAGCTTGGGGTGAAAATAGAAAATCCTGTATATTACATATTTTGGTCACGTGTTTGACCACTGGACGACTTCTGGTTTTCATAAAACCATATTACCTACAGCAAACAATTCTTAATGATGTTGGGACGTTAAATACAGTTATACATTTTGGACCCTGTGATTCATCTATGAATATTCAGCGACCGCTTGTTAATACTAATCTAGAATTCCAGCTTATTATTCTGCTGTTCCAAGAGGTGACAATCTGAATGTTTGTCCACTACTAATTTCATATTTTGTGTGTGCCTTGACAAGGGTCAAAAAGTTTTGCCAGGGGGCAAAAACATTTTAATTGTTTTTTTTATTTACACAGGTGTATTATAGTACGTATTTTAGTAAGAGACGAGAGTATTAATAAGTCAATAAATTCATAAAAACCCTTTTCCTCAATATTTTCGTCCTAATTTAGATTTTTATAGTAAATTTAAATAAATTGTAGAGAGAGGTTATCAAATCACAGATCACTGTTTGGGTTTTGTAATACGTAAGTTAAGTTTTCCGCTACAAGAGTGTCCAGTCATAATTAATTTACAAGAACCTCAGATACTTTAACAAGATCTTCAGGGACCGATCCTGAGGGCCGAGGTGTGATTCCTGACAGGTGACATTAATTTGTTGGACAGAGAAGAGATTGTTGTAGAAAATCAAAGTAATATGAATCACGGTATAAGGTACGGATTATCTCAAACAATTGTCATATTGCAATCATTTTATATAACACGTTGAGTTTCTAATTTTGCTGAAACTTCTGTGCCCTGTGTTCGTGCAAACTTAGAAATCTTACAACCATAATATGGTATTAATTTTTTTTTTCGAATCTTTAGACATAATGGGTTTATAGGTGTAAATTATGTAATGTATTCAATATAAATACATATATACTAATAATTAAAAATAATGTTAAATAGCGAAGTTTTTTTCCAAAACATGAGTTTTAGTGGTTAAGATATCTCTTACAGAGATATAGGCGATGAAAATTTAACATGTTTCCATGATAAGGAAAACTTTTTATGTTATCAAACAAAGCAACTGCATTAAGATAAATGTAATGCTAGTTTTAAAGTTTTACATGATTGCATAATAAAAAGAACAAGATAATATTCAAACACAAATCTCTATGGTAAAGTACGCAAACGTTGTACCTTATATGCTGTGATATTACAAACTATCGATTTTATCAAATAATACGTACTATGACAAGAGGTTTTGTTCTATAATATTATGCAGATTGACAAACTATGGAAGGAAACGTATAAAAATAAAGCAGTGGAAATGTAAAAAATTGATTGTCAACCACGGAAGGCAGTCGCAGCTCTGTTACATTGAGTAACACAATGGAGCGAGTCAAATCAACAATGATTTGGTTTTCAAAAGATGACGTCAGACTTCCCAATTGAAGATTGTGAGTCTGACTCAATCTGATTTCAAGTTTTGCAATGACTAAAACTCAAATGATTTACTGTGAACTGTGTCAAAAACTCATGTAATAATCATTGACTTACTTAATGCTATGGTGCATCAATAATTACAATGGTGACAACTGATTAATTTATTTAACCATCAGCCGTTCATATTATACAAAACATCAGATTATACTTTAAAATATGCTATCGTATTTTCTTTATGTTTTTATAAAAACACATTTGTTTTGGCCCATGTTTTATGGTATCTAACCTTCAACCTATTATGAAAAAGTATTATTAGTTAAATTTCCTATGAAAATTAGAACCAGACTTCCCCCACAAGAGCAAACCTTTACATTTAAAGGCAATAATTGAAACACGTTATTTAAATATAACTATCCAGAATGTGTATATTTCTTTTTTGTTTCTTCTACTAAATCTGTCATAGGCAAGTGAGTTCAAAATGTCTAGTTAAAATTTTTTTACAGGCTTAGTAGTATTTCAATTCCACACAGTGATTACTTAAATTAATGCTCCTTGCCAAAGAATATAAGAACGTGAGTTTCATTGTAATCTGTATTCCAAGAATCTCAGGACAAGCTTAGGAGGCCTGCCCTTGCGGATCTCCGAAAAACCAAGGCGAATATCCTAACAGTTGTGAATATTAATTAGTTTTCATCTTCATTAAGGACTGATAATGTTAGTTTTTCAATAAATTTTAAAATAAACACTTTACACACGTTTTTGTCGGACGAAATCAGCATAGCTGGCGAAAGGGTAATACAATAAAAGCTCCTAAAATATTGGTGAAGTATTTATTTTAAAATGTATATAAAATATTAAAATTTTCACCCTGACCTGTATCTATTAAAGGGTAATTAGACTTCCACAAACTTAACTAAATATTTCACTTGTCTTAAACGTTACATAATGGAAATTAACCAACCGTTGCGTTACCATAGAAACATTTATTGAGTTGTAAGGAAAACAATTAATTGGCAATTTTAAAATTGGTAATGTTGATAATAATTATAGTTATTTTCTTAATAGCAGCCTTAGCTTACTTCAAAACACGTAAGTATGCACTTTCCTTTTTGTCTTCTAGTTAAAAGGGGTTTTTCATGAAATTTAAAATAATATGTGTCACATATTTATTGATTTTTCGTTATACGGAAGGATTGATTGTAAATTGAGTGTAAAATGAATTGAGTGTATAATCATCGAAGAATTAAAAGTCAAAATTCAATGTGCAAATAAGTAAGTTTACATAAAAATATGTAATATCAGTATGAAAATTGCAAAGAATATATTTAAACCACTTTAACCTAGTTGGCTCTCCATTACTCAATGTGAATATTGAGTTTTGGCTGGTGTTGTTAATACGAAGACTTTTTTCAAGGACGCAGCACATGGCCTCTAAACTACATGTCTTGCACCTGTAACAGATCTAAGCCAAACACTCAAAGGTTATCCCATTCACAAAACCAACCAACATCGTCAACGGAATTAGAAACCGATGAAAACGGAAATGTACTGGAAAATGAAATCATAGATTCAGAAAATGAAGAAAGTGAACCATTGGAGTGCAAATATATGGGAAGAGTTTCTGAGACGTCCACAGATGAGGGCGAAGAAGACAATGAGAGAATGGGGATGTTAGATGAGATAGAGGAAGAGGAGAGAGACAAGGCTGGTGATGTTGAGGTGATTGTAGATGTTGAGAAGATGGAGGGAGGTCTGGAGGATGTTGAAGTGCTGAGGGTCCACCACAAGTCTTCAGGAGATTCCCAGAGCTGGAGAAGTGTCAAGGTCACCTCGAGTGTGTTGAACTATAAACATCATCCGAGACGTAGGACCAAAGTGCAGTGATCTTGGCACCTAGTGTATGTTTGATGTAATATTTGGTAATAAATCGCTCATTTCGTAAACCTATTAAGAAAGTTACAAATGAAACGACTTTCTTTACACTTTATCCACTTTCCTGAACCTTTCTGATTTCATTCAATGTACCGATATACTATTTATCTACGGTAATGCAGTTGTTTATAAAATATATTATATATGCTCTAAATTAATTAACTAAAATGTAAAAAACAAAGGATTTACTTAGTTTCAAAATTTTATATGCTGCAGCTTTTTTACATTTCAAAATGTTATTGAAATTTTTTTAATAGGGCCTATAATATTTTAATTTCTAAGGATAATTAACATAGAATTTCCAGGGTGAAATGAGGAGCAAACGTCTTTCGCATCGTAAAGTAGCCCAATCAAAAATATTAGGCTATACTTGTATTATTAGACTCCTCAGCATAATACTAATCTAATTGGATCGAAAGTAACTGAAGATAATTGACAAATAATACCTCTTAAACACTGCAAAGTAAACATAGATTAGCTTAATAAGGTTACGAATTAGCTACTCATAATGTCTTTACCCATAGTTTAAATTTGTTAATAAATCGCGAATACTTGGATCCTAACTAACACCAAGAAAGAAGAGCAAAGTACCTTGTAGTAATTATGTTACCTGATGTAATTCAAATGCTTAGAAATAATAACTGTATATCTAGTTAAGCAAATGTTGTTGTATCACATCTACATGATATTTGATAACTTCCATAAGATCCACAAGAAAAGAAAGGCAGAACTACGACTTAATCATCGATCAAGCTATCTACACCAACTCTCTCATGCTTATTTAAATAGTTTGATGGATGATGGAAGACTAACACGCAGAAAGTGTCACAAGCTTCTGTACACTCACGTCAACGTAAAGTAGTCACTGGCCGAGCCTGACACTGATGAATGAGTTTGTCATTTGTATTACATCAAGGTGGTTCGGGTTGATATTGGTACTCCACCTATGTTCATAATACAAAAATCTACAATGATTCACTTCAAACAGCTTGAGCTTCTTCTTGTAGTGTTTTATAAGTCTACTAGCAGAGTTCCTTCGAACGGGGTTGGCATATAAGTATAAATGCTTATTGTAGTTATGGGAGGGGACACGGTTTAAGAACATTTTGTCTTTTAATGTATACGGTATCCTATAGTGTCCTACAGTATCTACCATAGTCCTAATTTTCAATCACTGCACCTAAACCATGAAAAAAAGTTAAGTTCTCATTGTGTCACAACTTTTTGTTGCTAGTTGGTTAAAATTAGCTGTGGTCATAAATGCAAAAACATAATAGTGCTGCTCCCTGTTGGTAAGCTTTATAACTTTTTAATGCTATTTAATATCATAGAACCAACTTGTGAAGTTGAAACGGATGTAAAATTCTTTAATTTCTTTAAATATGAATACTCATAAGGTTTACATGAGAAACTCCAGAGCCAGAGCCACTGGGGGAAGCCTGAAAGGATTTTTGAGGTAAGAATATGTCTATATGTTAATCGGGAATGTCAGCTATCATCATACTAAATTTCAACCTTATCGGTTTAGTATTTTTCGCGTTTACTTGTCACAAACATCCATCTATCCATCAATACATCCGTACATCCAAACTTTCTTACTTATAATATTAGTAGGATAAGTAAACTGTTGTAATATTGCTTGTTTATGGATTGATTTTTATCAAACTTGGCAAATTTTATCAAACCAGCTGTGTGGAATTATGAAATCAAAATTCATTTGACAGTTAGTTCTGCTTGTTTACATTTTTAAACTTTGTAGGTTTGTTCTTTGTTACCATGGATACCATCAATAAATATTTACTTTTAAATCTCTCACCTCAAATTTTTGAAAGCCCTAAACAATATAGGGCAGAGCCCTAGGACAATATCGAAGCGGGAATAGTTCTATATGTATCCTCGGAGCTGTAGCTTCATTTGTGTGCAATTTGAGCCCAGTCGGTTCAGTAGTTTTTGAGATTACCTCATACAAACACACACACACACAGACACCAACTCTTCTTTATAATAGTATATAGAAGATAGATAGAAGATAGATAGAAGATAGATAGAAGATAGATAGATAGATATCATTAACTGAGTGTACTAAGAAATTTTCAGATATGTACTAAGAGGATCTTTTTATCATAACTGCCATCGATATTCATAGCATCAACTAAATATCAAATCCTCAGCAAGTTGAGTCAAATGGGACTTTTCCAGAACTAGCTAAGTCGTTCTGATCATTCTCTGAAAAGCTGATCATTCTCATCCTGTGTAGCCTATGTTAAAGTGGTCCATTCAAGAAAATCTTATCTATTGATAATCTTTTCACTTTAGTTTAATCCAATAATAGCTTACGTAGATAATTAAACAGCTACAGTAGAAAGTTCAGAATATATTATATTCAAGGAGTTTTAAGGTTCATTATACGTTAAAGTGCAACTAATTAATTCGTACCATCCGTTTAATGTTGTGTGAAAGTAAAATAAAACAAAAAACAGTACTTATATGTGTTATCAAACAACCTGGTATGGACTGTATGCATATGTTGCCCTTATACTATACCACAGCACCATTACCAGCATATGGCAGGCATGATAATGGCAGTGGTTAGTACATTTATCATACGGTGGAATCCGAAATCATTCACTGTTTTAACAAAATAAATAGGTGTGTGTTAGTGTTATGTATTAACAAAACACATCACACGTAAAGGCCTTAGCAAAGCTTTTGAGCCTACGTCAACGTTTATGCATCTTAATTATTTTTAACGAAGCTTGTCCTGACATTTTTTTAATAAATCCATATATATTTTATATAAATCTGCAAGGCAAACATTGCAACACATCCAAGTAATAAAGGTACTTAAGTATAGTTCTTCTTGGTTAGAGAGTGAAATATATTGTTTCAAAACTTTATTTAAGGTCTTCAGCTATTCACCTTTATTTCCCACCAAAATTCAAGCAAAATTGATATGTTTATAGTTATTATTATGGTTTTAATTATAAGTATACAAGTTTTACACATAAAACTTCGTTTTATTAAATTTCGAAGTGAATTTAATGCTTATCAATCCTTTTTCCACTAATGCCCTTCTCAAATCCTTAAAACCCCGGCAATATAAAACATTATACCTCATGTGAATTGTTGTTTTTTGGAGGTCTGTAAGGTTTTTTTATCCATGCTTTATAGAAAACCCTTTAATTTGTCAATACACTTGTACATTAACTGACATTTTGCAGTCCACAAGGATGGATGAACAAGTACCAGCCAGAAGTAATGTAATTCTTAATTCGATTGAGAATTATATTCATCTCATAATATTTATTTCTTAAGACTTCCCCTCCCCGATTATAACCACAGTTGCCAGACATTGGCCGCCCTTCGTGTATTAGGAGAAATTGAAAATGACTGAAGTGGAGAATAAGCAGCAGAGTCAATTTCAATAACCATTCAACTGTAAAGCAATAATTTTTTCACAGAAATTGTAATACTCTAGACTGAAAGTATTTTAAATAAAACTGGTATTTGGAACTTATCAATTTGTTAATATCTTCTTGAGTGCAGCATAAGTTTTATAAGACAATTTATGCACCGTGGGACATTTGGACCATACATCAGCTCATGGGCGATGAAAAACGTAAGTTTGAATCATAAAACATTTTACCATATTGTCTGTACAATAACTTCTGTTAGAATTAATTTCCTGAAAAACATTATTTCTTAAAAGTAAACTTTATAAACTAGTTAGCTATACAGTAAAAATTAAAGATGAGATAAACAGTTTTGTTATTTGTACAGTAGTACTAAATGTGAGTGTAATTCCTGTTACAATTGGTTTAAAAAATTAAACAGCCTAAAGTAAAATGTAGGTAATCAATTTATATTGCTTCCAACACTAGGCATGGTTTGCATTTGAATGCCAGGGGAAAGCATCGTTTTGCGATTGCTTTGGGGGATCTAATAACCCATCCAAAGAAATCCCTATCTCAGAACATAGGTTCCCCTCCTCAGGGACATCCTAAGAATCCTACCCAAGCACTTTCCTCCTCTTACAGAGGCCATTCGAACACTTGCTCTGATCGAACAGATTTTAGGGAGGGGGGTGGTCGGGTTTTTGTCAATTCAGATTTTTTGGGGCTAGCCCGGAGGCAGTACCGCGTACCTTGGATGAGCCCGGCGCAGGTGTGGGCGAGGTGCATCCGGACTGTCTGAAACTGCTTCACCAAAATATAAGAGGTCTCTCAGACAAAATAGAACTGTTTGATGTGTTCCTGCAAGATGAATTGCCTGACGTGATATGTCTGTCTGAACACAATCTGAGAGACACGGAGTTTGAGACGATTATGCTCAATGGTTATACAAATGTGGCTGCTTTCTGCCGATCATCAATGCAGAGAGGTGGTGTCGGTATTTTTGTAAGTAATTTTTTAAGGAGCACAAAAGTAGATTTGTCTGAGTTTTGTGTGGAAGGTGAGTGCGAATTAGCTGCTTCAAAACTGTATTTAGAAAATGAAATCATACTCGTCATTGCTGTATATAGACCCCCGACTAATAAACACGATTTATTTTTTGAGAACATGACTGGATGCCTTGATAAGCTTGTAAATTTCAACCAAAAAATCTTTGTTGTTGGTGATTTAAATATTGATCTGTCTAAAACTTCCTTCGTAGCAGATAAGCTGACAACCATTATGAGATCTTTTGGACTCAGAAACACGATAAGTTCATATACAAGGGAGTTCAAATGTTCTAGATCCTTGATAGATCATATATTTACTGACATAGATAATAAAAGAATTAAAAGTGAAGTTCTTGTGACAGCCCTCTCAGACCACCACGCCCAGTTAGCTTCCATAAACTGTTCACTGAATGACAGAGATAATCTAATAAAATATAAATTTTCCAGAGAATTTAATAATAATACAAAGCAATACTTTAAGCTATTACTTAAGCAACAGAACTGGATATCAGTGTACAACGCAACAACAATGAATGACAAA